CGCACCGGCCAAACATCCCCCCAGACGCAATAATAGTTTTTCCGTGAGTGTGAGCGCGAGGGTACTATGCATGCGTTTGAGAGTGAGCGAGATATCTATTTCCCCCTCTTAAACTTACAGTCTACTCCAGGCTAGAGTAGAAATGGGATTAGGTTTTTCCCATAATGGGAAAAACCGTTATTTACAAATAACAGTCAACTGGCCGTCTACCCAACTTAGCGAGTATACATACGTTCATAGTACCTATAAGTGCTACTCAATCCCACATATTCTGTCCTTTAGAAAATAAGTTGTGTCTGGCGGCTCTGGGCTCTTGGACCACAAGGACAAAACAATTCGTTCTATCGGGGGACATGGACAGCTTGCTAGATGGATTGAGAAATTGCAGCAATACGATTTCCAAATTAAACATCGATCTGGAAACCTGCATAAAAATGCTGAAGCTCTGTCAGACGTCCATGTAAAGAAGATTGCAAGCATTGTCAAAGAATCGATATGCATGAGAAAAAGACTAGTCCAGCTGTGAGAAGAACGGGCCTGATCGTTGATGACAAATGGACTACCAAATGAGAGAAGATCAGGAGGCAGAACAGGACATCGGGCAAATTCTACATCTTAAAGAAAATGATGAATTTAGGCCAGAATGGAGGGAAGTGTCGAACAAAAGCTTGATTTTTAGGCGCTGCGGGCCCAGTGGAACTATCTGGCCGTAGAAAATGGTTTACTTGAAAGAGTTTGGGAAAGTGCCGATGGGAAATCCATTAAGAGCCAACTGATTATCCCAAAGTGGAAGATTTATTAAAAGAAATACATGACGGTACTTCAGGGGCATATTTTGGAGTTAACAAGACTTTGGACAAAATTCGGGAACGTTTTTACTGGGTTCACTATCACGAAGACGTTAAAAGCTGGTACCGAAAATGCGACATTTGTGTCACCAGTCACCAGTAAAGGCCCAAAACTAAGATCGCGTGGACCATGAAACAGTACAATGTCGGTCTCCCATTTGAAAGAATAGCGATAACAAGTGGTAACAAATACATCTTGGTTATTATGGATTACTTCAATAAATGGCCAGAAGTTTCCGCTATTCCCAATCAAAAAGCCATCACAGTTGCCCAAGTGCTAGTGGGCGAAGTTTTTAGTTGTCATTGTGTGCCCATAGATTCAGATCAGGGACGAAACTTCGAATCTGCCATCTTTAGGAAAATTTGTGAGATCATGGGCATTCGTAAGACAAGGACAACACCTTTACATCCACAGTCTGATGGCATGATAGAACGATTCAATAAGACCATAGAGGAACACCTGACAAAAGTGGTCGCAAAGAACAAGCGAGATTGGGACAAACATTTGCCTCTATTTTTAATGGCTTACAGAGCAGCTGTTCACGAGTCAACAGGTGAAAGTCCAGCCAGAATCGTTTTTGGAAGGGAACTCAGGGCTGGAACTCTGTAACGGATAGAGGTCGTTATCCCTATCGCTATAGCAATTGCAGTCTTCTTCTCACTTCTCGAAATCAATAGAGAGGGGACGTCAAGACATACATCTTAAAGAAAATGATGATTGTAGGCCAGAATGATAAATAGATAGAGAAAATATATTCGTTACAGAGTCCCAGTCCAGGTTACCTTGTGATCTGATGTTTGGGATACCTGAAGAAGAACGGAAAGAAATTTGAGATTATGCCGACGAAGTAAGGGCACGACTTCTGGGAATACACGATTTTGCTCGGGAGCACATTCAGCTGGCTAGTGACCGAATCAAGACCAGATACGACTTGAAAGCCAATTCAGCCGGATTTCAAGAAGGTGATTTAGTGTGGCTGTATAATCCAACTAGAAGGAAAGGAGTATCGCCGAAATTGTCTTCAGCATGGAAAGGACCCTACAGAATAATCAAGAGGATCAATGATTTGGTTTATCGAGTCCAGCGCAACACCAGGAGTAAGATGAAAGTTGTACATCTATAGACAGATCAACGAAATATCATGGGCGTGAAGTTGATCAGGACGATCAACCTTAAGAGGAAGGAGAGTGTTACGATAACGTCGCCGCCAGGATGTCAAGAACCCAATTTAGCGGAATTTTTGCGGCGTTTTCGAGAAGGATAGTTATCGCGTGTATTCTAGATTAAACATGAATAGATTTAGGGATATATATAAATGCCGGCATTTGGTTTGTAAGTTTAAGTTTAAGTTTGACTGTGATACGATTTAAATAGTGATTATTGTTGCGAGTTGTAAAGAGTTTAATTGTTGAGTTAGTTATTAAAGTAATTAGTGTCAAAGTGTATAGTTAAGCGGAATAAATTATTGCTGTGTTAATTGGACTTTGATTTTGGAATAAACGAACAACAAATCCAAGATTTCTGTCACGCACACCAAAGCTGTGACAATATTTTTAATAGCCTACTATTCATTTTCTTAATTTATAATAATTAGAATAGTAAACAAAACACAGGTGTCGCAGTTCTATACGTTCTCAAGTTACACTCACCAACCACCCAACCATGTTTGGCTAGATCTTAATACAGGTTACATAAGTACAAACGAAGCTACCGTAACGTGTTCCACTCGGCCAAAGGATCGGCGAATAGTCAATACATTTCCTAAATTCCTCAACAGAAACGTACAGTTAAGTTGACTTTTTTACGTCTGAAAGATGCAAATCTCGCGCATATTTGAGTTTGCCTTTTTAAAACGTTATGACCGACTTTCCGGAAATCTAGTTCATCAATTTTTTGTACGATTTATTGGAGATGTTAAAATATAATATAATTGGAGTGATTTTGTGTGAGAAAATCGGTGAACTGAATACATGTTTTAGTTTGTAACTGTTGATCCGCTACGTAAAGTTTGAAAAAGTGGAATGTTTGACCACAATAATTTTACTATTTAATTTATTGAATAAATCTCCAAACAAAACTATTGTTTTTGTGTGATTCTGTACACAGTTTTTTCTCACAGGTTCCCATATTTTCTTTAACTTCACTAGCTCTTCTTATTCAATCAGCAATTTTTTACTTTCAATTTCATAATTATTCATTATTCATGGTAGAACTTAATTCATCTATATGAACATGTAGGTATTTTGAGTTCTTTTCTGTCACAAGCTCCATCCATATCCAATTTTTGTAAAACAAAATAATGAAAAGATAATATTAATCATAATAAAATATCAAAAAAAGTACAATTTTACATTAGATATCATGCACTTATACCGATTTTTTTTCTAAATAGATGTTGTGGGAAGCTAACACCAAACCATTATATCAAATATAAAACTTGCAACGACCGTGTTAAATTATAAACAATAATTTTTAGGATAATCTGTATAAAATTATCCTATCGTTGAGAAATAGATTACCTACTACTCGTAACCTCAAGACAATAAAACCACTGGTAGAAAAAAGCCAATAAATGAGAAAGTGGGAAAAACCTACTTTTAATGTTATTTATCATTATATTACAGTTATATCCACAATACATTAAACAATAGTATAATTTATTTTATACCTAATTTGAAAAGCCTACTTTTGATACATAGTGTGGGCTTTGGTGTGGGCTCCTGGCCTGGAGCCAATTAAAATTTTTGGATGAATATTTTTGTAGGTTTATATACACTGCTTATGACACATTATCAAACATTATTCCATAATGACCCGCCACTGTTTTATAAGTTTTATTTCAATTTTATGTGACCGCAGAAGCATTTCCTTATGGTTTCGTAATCATCATCTTTTCCTGTTTGTGTTTCTGATAATTTGCTTTTTATGGTTGCGCTGGTTTTGCTTCGGTTGTCCGATCGACCTACGAATGAAGATCCATACGAAAATATAGAAAATTTTGCTCCCACTCATTACCCGCGGGTTTCCTTAACGCAAATTGTATGATTATTCAAAAACTATACCTACATAGGATCAAATTTATACTAAACAGGAAATATTGAGGGGGTTGTCAGAAACGGGATGATACCAGTGGCGTACACTCGATCCCTTTTGATTACTGCCTGATATTTCTATTTTTAAATTTTTATGTTCCATTTTTTGTCTTTTCCCTACTCTTGAATTTTCGTTGTCTACAAATTTCTACTTTTGTCTACTACCAATTTTTCCAAACCAAATTGTTTAACACGATTTTATCTCAGGAACTATAAGTGCAAATGAGCTGAAATTGTCAGGGATTATAGTCCCTTTAGTGGGATGAGATTCAGTGGAAATTTCAGCTTTCTATCTGTAATAGAAAAAAAGTTATGACCTTTCAAAGTTTTCCAAAATCTAAATCATAAGGTTTGTGTCCTAATGGTCCCTCGTGATGCCCTGAACTCCATAAACTAAATTATTCCAAGATTTGGAGCCGAAATCTATGAAAAAAGGCACTCAGAAAAATTGATAAATCACCCCAAATTGCTTAACACGATTTTATCTCAGGAACTATAAGTGCAAATGAGCTGAAATTTTCAGGGAATATAGTCCCTTTAGTGAGATGACATTCAGTGAAAATTTCAGCTTTCTATCTATAATAGAAAAAAAATTATGACCAATCATGAGGTAGCTACCTTCTTACTATAACGACCTCTACATTTAGAAAAAGTTGCAACAAGACAAAACCGCCCACAAATCAGAACTTGATGATTAACACTCAAATTATTTCGAACTTCCAAAAGACCTTGAATTTACTATGGGTTATTTTCTTCTGTCTTGGTTTATATCAACCGCATTCTTTCTGCAAGGCATCATTTTATTATTATGGGACTACCTACCTTTGATATTTTCACTAGCAATTTATTTGTCCATTAGTAATATTTCAAGTTACTGGATTTTTTTTCCAAATACCTTTAAGGTCAAGGCACTGGATGAATCAGCTTCCTACACAGAAAATGAGGATTTAAATGGTAGACTTATTTATTGCTGTACCTATAAGCATAGAACAAAATGAGTCCTTTGAAATCTTCAATATTCATCAAAAACATCACATAATCTCATTATTATTATTTCAGATGACTTCCTATAAACTTCTCCCGCTCCTGCTAACCATTTTCACCAGCTCCACTCAAACTTTGGACTTCTCACCATGCCAAGAAATATCGCAAGACTTAAGATTCCCCTGTGTTTGCGCCTTAGGGCCAGTAGAAGAAGCTCTAGACGGAAACCCTTCACTCACCATCAATTGTGACAGGGTAGTTTTTCCAATGGACGTGACTTTTATTCCTTACGGAGCACCTGTAGTGTCTTTTGTGCAACGTCATGCTGGACACCAATCTTTACCGAGTCAAGTAAGAATTTCAATAATTTTTGTTCCATATTAATTTATTTTTTCTTAGGTATTCACTTCTAGCCTACCTTTACGTTCTTTAGACCTGTCGCATAACTCTTTGCGGAAACTCAACGAGCGTATGCTACAAGGTGTTCAAAATACCCTTACTGAATTGCATTTGGCTGATAATTTGCTTGGAGATACCCTAAATCCAATTTTCTCTAGTAGTGAATTTAGAGGCCTCAAACACATGTACTATTTAGATTTGAGAAGGAACGGCATCAAGGCTATTGAGGAAGGGATATTTGAGGGATGTGAAAATTTAAAGGTAAGTACTTCTCATCAATTAGAGGGAAACAGAAAATGATGTATATTATTATTAGGAACTTTATTTAGACGGCAACGATTTTAACGCTATTCCAAGCAGTTCACTGAACGGACCAAAATCCTTAAAATTACTGTCACTTAGCGGCAACAACATAGGTAAGTTGCCTTTATTAATCAATAAATAACACAATAATTTTAATTTTTTTTTAAATTCAGAAACCATTAAAGTTGATTCATTCGAAGCCCAATTCAACTTGGAAACAATCGACTTGAATAACAATTTAATTTCAACTATAGAAAGCGGCTCGTTTGGCAAATTAGCGAACGTGAAAACGCTGAAATTGTCTCACAATCGATTATCGAAGTTCAACAGTGACATTTTCATTGGAGCCGATAGTCTGATCAATTTAGATTTGTCTGAAAATTTCATGACGGAATTTCCTTCGGTTGCCCTCAAGGTTTTCGATAGTCTGAGATCCTTGAATTTGTCTTCTAATTTGATTCAAGTAAGTATATAACAATTTCTTTTTTTTTTATTCCATTAGATTTGAAATTTGCCAAGGGGTAAACCACTAAACCACCATGCACTTGGTGCAAATAATTCCTCAAACTACCCGCAAATTCCTCCAAATTCCCTGCAAATGCCTATTACAAATTCCGCTCAGTGTTGAAACCAATAAATTTCCTCAATTTCTTATATATTCCTCCAATTTTCTATAAATTCCTTCAAGTTCCCCAAATATTCCTCCAAAATCCCTACAAATTCCTCTAAATTCTCTACAGTTTTGGCAAAGTACCAATTCCTAGGTGGTTTGCGCCTTAAAGGTGAACAATCAGAATTTTTTTTTTACTTTTTGCTGAATTTAAATCTTTACTTTATCCACTTGCAAAATTCCAATCCAATCTTTCAAATTTTTCTAAGGACCTGTTTATTAATCTTCAGATAAACTTGCTGGTAAATATCTGAAACCTAAATTTACGGTCCTATAATTCTATTGGTCGGCGGATAACTGCTTAACCAACCTCTCTCGTGTAACGAAATTTGCCAAAACGTGACGCGTCTTTCAGATCACTCTCCATTCTCGTCCAAATAACAGACTGCCGCCTAAGAAGTTTCACTTCAAAAAATCGAGTTTTCATAAGGAATTTTGATTTCAAAATCTTTAAACCTCGATTGCTCGGTAGCCGTTTAGCAAATTGCGTTGAAATTTTCAGCATTCGTAGCTCTTACTAAGCTCTAGATGGCCTGTAATTTACAATATTCCCAGATTTATAGTTTTTGAGCAAATTGAGTTTAAAGTTTTTGACAAAATTTAGACTAAAAGTCAACTTCGAAGCTCAATTGCTCAAAAACTATTTGAGCTACTGACCTCAATTTTGCACAGATTTATTGAGAATTTTATGCTCTTTCCAATGATGTATAATTTATTGGAAATTTAATAAAGATATGGGCAATTGTTCATGATCATATCAAGATTTTGAAAATTTTCCAGAGCCAAAAATAGGATTTCCTTTTTAATTTTTTTTCTGCTAAAAATGGCTATTTGGAAATGATGTCTGGGTTGTTTTCCACTAATTTTGACCCGCTCTATCGATTGGTAAAGTCAAAATTGAGCAAAACTGGAAAATAAAAAAATCGAGTTTTTCATAAGGGTACCTCCTTTGAATTCTGATTTTAAAATATTCATACCGCAATTGCTCGGTAACCGTTGAGCAAATTGAATTAAAATTTTTAGCATTTGTAGCTCTTATTTGAACCTAAATGACCAGTTATTTACAATATTTCCAGATTTATAGTTTTTGAGTTGAGTTGAGTTTAGTTTTTTACAAAATTTGGACTAAAAGTCAAATTCAAGAATCAATTGCTCAAAAACCATTTGATTGATAGCTCAGTTTCACACAGATTTATAGGAAATTTAATGCTCTTTCCAATGATATATAATTTATTCCAATTTGCTCGAAATTTAACAAAGATATGAGCAATTTAGGCAGAATTCCATTTAAATTATGAGAAATGTTAAAGAAATTATACGAAATTATGTTGTAATTATATCGGAATTATATGAAATCTGATAAAAATTATGCAAAAATTTATACAAATTATGCGAAATTTCAGTAAAATGAAATGGAATTAAATGAAATTCCGTAAAATATATGCAAAATTTTATCGAAATTATGCTGAATTCCAAAACGTTTAATTTTAAAAAAATTACATAGATTTCTATAAAAATTATGCGAAAATTCAGCTAAATTAAATGGAATTCTGGGAAAATGACGTGGAATTCCAAAAAAAATCTTTCAATTGAATTACATAAAAACCCATAGAAATTATGTGGAATTCCATGAAAATTATGCGAAATTCCGTAGAAACTCTGAGGAATTCCATTGAAATTATGCTGAATACCATAGAAAGTATGCAGAATTTCATTGAAAATATGCCAAATCCCATTAAAATTATGCGGAATTCTAGTGAAATTAAACAAAAAACGACATAGAATTCCAAAAAAAGCGTTGAATTTCAAAAAAATCAAAATCCCATAAAAATTATGAAGATTTAAGTTGTATGGAATTCCATGAAAAATATGCGAAATTTCATAGAAACTATATGCAAAAGTCCAAAGAATTTCTGCGGAAATATATAGAAAATATGCAATATTCTATAAAAACTATGCAAACTTCTACTGAAATTATGCGGAATTTCATAAAAATTGTGTGGAATTAAATAAAATTCTAGTAAAATTTATTAAAGTTCCAGGGATAATACGACGTAGAACTCCAAACAAAAATCTGTGGAATTCCGGTAAAATTATGAAATTCCAATGAAATTCCATTAATTTTCCTGGAGTTCCAAGTAATTTGTCCAAAATTTCAATTTATTCTCGTGAAATTCCAAACAAAAATATGATATTATTTAAAATTCCTGTAAATTTCCGAGGAATTCTTGTGGAATTTCTAGCAATTACAGAAAATTTCTTTGAAATTACATGGATTTTTAGTAGAATTTTAGTGAATTTCCATGGAATTACGAGGAATTCGAGTGTACAATTTTTTTTTTTTTTAATTAACTAAAAAAAAAATAGCTATTTTCCTAACGAGTGCGGGAAATTTCTTCCCGCAAGAGTTAGGAACTATATTTTTTCTACGTACATACTAAAGGTGATGTTACCAAATGTTTAACAACTTACTCAAATATCAAAAATATTGTGAAATTATTTGGGATTTCAGTGGTATTACGTGGATTCCGATGAAATTCCATTAATTTTCCTGGAATTCTAGAAAATTCTTGCAAAAATTACATGAAATTCTTATGAAATTTTAAATAAGTTTTGTGAAATTATTTGGAAGTTCAGTGAAATTCTGGTAAAATTATGTAAAATTTCGAAAAAAACTCCAATGAAATTTCACGTAATTCACCCGGAATTCCAAGTTCTTCTCGTAAAATCCAAAAAAAAATCCCGTAAAAATTACATTAAATTTTCATGCAACTTCAAAAAAATTCTTGTGAAATTATTTAGAATTATAGTGGAATTACGTGGGATTCCGGTAAAATTATGTGATATGTACTGCGAAAGAATTACGACGAAATTTTTCGAGTATTCGACTTTTTTGAGTTATTCTCGTGAAATTCCAGATAATTCCCATGAAATTCCAAAATATTTACGTAAAATTACGTGGAATAGCGAAAAAAAATCCTGTAGAGTTACATGGAATCCTTGTAAAATTCCAAAAAAAAAAAAATCTTAAAGTTACTGGTAATTTCAGTGGAATTTTGAGGAATTTCTATAGTATCACTTGAAATTCTCGTAAAATTGGGAGAAAAAATCGCAAAAACTTCCGTAAATTAGATAAAATTCTTGTAAAATTACGTAAATTTTCTATTGAATTCCCAAGAATTCTCGTGAAATTAAATGGAATTCCCGTGTAATAACTCAAAATTTAAGTGAAATTCTAAAATAATATGAAATTCTCGTGAAATTCCGTAAAGTTTTTGTAAAATTACTTAATACTTTAGCAATATTCCTTCCTGTAGAGTAAATCGGAATTTAAAGTTGCTTGGAATTCCTGTGGAATTGAAAAAAACACCCTTCCTACGGAATAACTAGAAATTCCATAAAATTTCCACGAAATAATGTACTTGACATTTTACTGAAATTCCCAAAAAAATCCTGTAAAACTACTCGAAGTTCCAAAAAAAAGGGAATTAAACTGAAATAAAATTACTTGAATTTTTCCTGGAATTCTAGCAAAATTTGAAGAAATTCCTGTGAAATAAATCAAAATTCTCGTGAAATTCCAATAAATTCACAAGAGTCTACTTAAAAAATCGTATTTTTCAAATTTCAGTAAAATTCCAAGAAATTTTTATGAAATAACTCAGAATTTCAGGGGAATTCCAAAAAAAATTATTGAAATACTCATGAACTATCAAAAAGTAATTTGTGAAATTACATGGAATTCCAAAAAATTCCTGTGAAAATACAAAACATATATGTCTTTGAAACTAATTGAATTTTTAGTGGAATTCCGAAGAATTTTTAGGGAATTCTGGTGTGCAATTTATGAACATTCTATAAACATTCCTGGAACATTCTATAATAAGAATTTTAGTGGTATTCTGAAAAATTCTTATAAAATTACACGAAATTCTCATGAAATATCAGAAAATTTCCATGAACATTCCTGAAACATTCTACAAATACTCCCGGAACATTCTATAAACATTCCCCGAATATTTTTCAAAAATTTTCCAAAAAAAAACATGTTGAAACACTTCTGGAATATTTTTGGGACATTTTATAAACATTCTTATATAGACGAAACCAAACTGCTCACAAATTCCCTACAAATGCTTGTTACAAATTTCCAAAATTGTTCATGATAAAAAACGTATTTTTCTATTTTAATCACGCTCAGTGTTAAAACCAATAAATACCCTCAATTTCTTATACATTTCTCCAATTTCCCATAAATTCCTCCCAATTCCCCCAATATTCCTTACAGTTTTGGCAAAGAATTCTTAGGTGGTTTGCCCCTTGCCTTGGATATAACATTCCTTAAAGTAAATCTTCTACAATTTTGCAATATGTATTTTAAACCAGAATGGCATTATGAGTCTTTGAAATATTTAAAAATAAATAGATAAAATCAACCTACAAACATTTATATACTTTTTTTTTGCAGACATTGGACAATTCAAATTTAGCATCATTATCCAGTCTATTCGAATTGGATTTGAGCAGAAACAGTTTGGGCAATATCGTGCCGGGCACATTTTTGGGCTTGAAATATCTAAAAAAATTGGACATCAGCGTAAACTCGTTAAGAACAGTGGAAGACGATGCATTCGAAGGCCTCGACAACTTGGAACATTTAAATTTGAAAGACAACAACATTTTGTTAATACCAGCTTCAGCTTTAGGAAGGCTGCCGCGTTTGACTTCATTGCAAATGGACTATAATCGTATTACAGCTTTGTCTGGCGATATTTTACGGTCTATTGGTGAAAAAGTGACTAGGCTTGTAATATCCACAAATGTTGTTAGAGAGCTTCCAACAGACACATTCAAATTCTTTAAAACTCTACAATATTTGGACCTAAAAAGAAATTATTTAACAACTTTAACTTCAAACGCCTTTGAAGGCCTAGAAGCATCATTAGAAGAACTTTATTTGTCAGAAAATCGAATCATGACACTTCCAGAAACTCCAATAAATTTAAATATTTTAAAATTATTGGATTTAAGCAACAACCACTTAACTGACCTACCAAGGAACTCATTTAATTCACTGACTTCATTGAAGCAATTAAATCTAAGCAACAACGTCCATCTAACAAAAATTCCAGAACCTCTACTCCACAAATTAGCCAAATTAGAAATAATCGATATGAGCTTTTGTGGCATTCAAACAATTAAATCCGAATTATTTATAAAATCAAACACATTAAAAGAAATTCACCTAAAGAGTAACAACCTGTCCGATTTACAAGAAAACTCTTTTGTCAACATGCCCAATTTGACTTTAATCGATTTATCTTACAACAACATTAGTAGTATTAAACAAACAGCTTTCGCCTTTGTAATGAACATAAAAGAATTAAACTTAAAAGGCAATCAATTGACTTCATTTAAAGGTGAATATTTCAATACTGGCACCAGCTTGGAAATTTTGGATATTTCAGAAAACCAACTTAGCTATCTGTTTCCTTCTTCATTCAGAATCCATCCCAGGCTCAAAAAAATTATCGCCAGTAAAAACAAGTTCAATTTTTTCCCAGCCGAATTGATAGCCAATCTACAATTTTTGGAATACATCGATTTGTCTTTTAACGAATTAAAAACTGTAGAAGAATTGGACTTTGCCAGATTGCCAAGACTTAGGTCTTTGTTGATGTCGAATAATCATTTGGAAAGTTTGAGTGAAATGGCTTTTCACAATAGCACTCAGCTACAAATACTGGATTTGAGCATCAATAAGTTGGATAGACTAGGCGAGAGGACTTTTGAGGGTTTAATAAGGCTTGAAATGCTAAATTTGGATAACAATAATTTGGCTGATTTGCCTGATAATATTTTTGAAAGGATTCGATTGCAAATGCTGGATAACATAGTATTATCCAGAAATAAGTTTGTGATTCCTCCATTGAAAACGCTTCAGAGGCAATACTTTTTCTTGGATTCTGTGGATTTGTCTCATAATAATATTGAAGAGATACCTCAAGAGGATGGTATAATGGTCAATATTAAAAAACTAGATTTTTCTTATAATCCCCTATCGCAAGAAGCAATAGCGAACATACTCGGCGAACCGAAAACTGTGAGAAGTTTGAATTTAGCCAATACTGGTATAAAAGTTGTTAGTCGACTGGAAACACCATTTTTGAAGCATTTAAATTTGTCTTATAATAATATTTCAAAAATTAGTGACGTTTTGTTCGAAAGGACAACGTTATTGGAAACATTGGACATTTCCAATAATATGTTGACGAGTACTAATGGATTTGCGAAAATATGGCCGTTTTTGAGGAATTTGAATATGCTTAATTTGTCTAGTAATCCCATAGAAGCCATTGCGCATGACGACTTTGAAGGATTGAATAAGTTGAGGTGAGTATTTTGTTGTTTGTCTACCTATTGTCCATCGTTTTTAATCTGAAACTTTCCGTATGAAGAGCAAGGGGGTGAAGCTCATAGAAAAAACGGGTATGACGTCAGGTGAGCATTGGCGTTTTAATAGAGGGAGCCACCAGCTCACATTTTTTTGGAGTATCAGATTAAAATGGACAGACTTTACTAAGGTTTGAAAAACCTATATCTCCAATTCTGCAATAGATAGAGAGCTGAAATTTTCAGCGATTCTTATCCTAGTAGAGAACTACAATCCCTGAAAATTTCAGCTCATTTGGACTTATATTTCCAGAAATAAAATCGTGTTAAGCAATTTGGGGTGATTTATCAATTTTTCAATTTTTGTGAGTGTCTTATTTCATAGAATCTGGCTCCAAATCTCAGAATAATTTATTGTATGAAGTTTAAGGGATCGCAAGTGATCATTCGAACCCAAAATATCAACATAATTAAATTTTAAATTTCATCATTTGATGGTCTACTAATTATCCCATAAGTCTTTCTCTGTATCCTCCCAAGTCCAACCGATTTTTGTTTATAACGTAAAATATGTTTTGTTCATTGTGCTCAAAATCCTATGAGTCAAATATGATTCATGCCATAAACAATCAGAGCAATTTCCTATAATATTCGGATTCCCCACCAATAACGAATAAATATGAGTCACCTAAGAACAAATTCTTATATTTCAACACTTTGAACATCCATCATATGGGACTTTTTTGGTCACTTTTAATGCGATGCAAAATAAGAATCCTTTATACTTGTTCCCTTGAAATAAATTGTCTAACTAATAACATAAACTCTTTATTTAGATATCTCAGTGTCCATTCGTTAGAGAAATGCACAAAAATCGAAAAAACCGCCTTCAAATCAGTGCCAAACCTCCTAGAACTGGACGCTTACGGTTACCCAAAGCTAGGCTATCTAGATCTGAACGGAGTCTTGCAAAACGTGCCACTCTTAGAAAAAGTCAATATTGAAACCAAAGACGCTGCTATAGGCAAAGACCAGCTACAATCCATGCTAAATCCGAGATTGAAGGAACTTAGTATAAGAGGATCACGATTGAGGAGTGTTTCTTCGGGAACTTTGTCTGGAATCAAAGGTACCTACCAAATTCCTTCCACTTAAAATAATATATCTACAACAAATTATATTTTTAGGTCCTAACATCCTTATTCGCTTCGTCAACACCTCCCTAACCTCCATACCTCCAGCCCTATTCTTCCCAGTTCCAAGATCCTCCAAAACCACTTTGGACATAACAGGAAACCAACTGACAACATTAAGCATACAATTTCTGACCACTCTAGAAGACAGAAGAGGAGATTTGAAACTGGTAGGACTCCAAACGAATCCCATTACTTGCGATTGTAATTCGAGAGGCTTGAGAAGATGGCTACCGATGCATATGATGATGGTAAAATGCTCAGGACCGCCATATTTGGCTGGCAAATATCTCGGCGAAATTGGCGATGACGAATTAAGTTGCGATCCAAAAAAGATGATGCAACAGTCCACGACTCAATCGACTACGTCATTGCTAACGGATTCTACAAAATTGCTTAAAAAAGCTACAGAGCCTGATATCATTTGGTCGATGCCCGCTACAGAAAAGGCACAGCCGAAGATTAAAACAGCTTCAACAGGCCAATCTGCTTTGAATAATGATGATACACTTATTATTGGAATTGTGGGAGGAGTAGTAGCATTCATTGCAATACTTATTATTATTATTTGCATTATTAGGTAAAAACTAGGTAAATACTTACCAAAAAAGAACGCTTAGCTATTATAATTCTAGGTTGCGCATGTCCAGCTCTCAATATAGAGGGGGTCCAGTTACTTCAGGTTCAATTGTAGCTCCTGGTGTAATAGGTTCAGGAAGTAGTTGCGCTTGCAGCGTTAAAGGAGCTCCAACAGGTTCCGTAGGTACCGCCCTTTATGCAATACCGCCCAGTTATGCAGCTACTTTGCCTCACAAAATGACACCAATGCATCAAGGCAAGGGTTTAGTCTCTTTTAATTGTAAATTGTTTTCAATAGTTTTTTTTTTAGGTGCTATGAGGGTACCGGCTACAGCTTACTCGACAATGGGCAGAGGTCCCTACTATCAACAAAGTAATGTGCAGCCGTATTTTATAGCTACTTATCCAACTGATGAGAAACTTTATCGATAGTTATATGGTGTGTAAATAAATTTGGACCATATTGGTCTTAAGTTGTACAAGGAGATTTAGACTGGCCTAGGATTATGACTCTTTGTATAGAGATCCAATGGACAACCAGCCTTGAAAAGACATTTAAACTGAATTAGATTATATTATGTGCTCTGTTACTCATTTAATTTTAAGTACCTAATAATAATTCCAATTGTACCTAATTTTTGTGTAAATATTACTAACTTATTATTATTTTTGAATAAATATTAGGAAGAATACGGGGAAACTTAAGATTTAAGCTCATAAAAGACAAATATATGTAATCGAAGCCATTTTATTAGCAATAATTATATGTACCTCAAAAATATGACCATGTGTTGAGTTTAAAGAGAAATTGAATTTTAGTATTATATTATTTAATATATTTTTTTCAATGTAAAAGTCTGAACTTATTTTAATTTAAAAGCCAAATGTATGTATTGCATAACTCAGTATACTGAATTCATGATATTACATAGTCATCATTTTGTATATCAATAATTTTTTTGTCAATTCTATAATATATATACTAGGAATTGCATAAATTCATGGTTTGCTCTGAAAGCTAAAAATTACTATAAGAAATTCCTCTTGCCAAAAAAATCTCTTCAAACATTGATTTTTAGTTCATCCTTCTGGTTTATGGATTGACTATTGGTTGGGAGAAATCTACAAAAATCCATCATACAAATAATTTTTTTTCTATTTATTTATATCACAGTTAAGGAGCTACAAGTTCTGGCAATAAATTTTTTAGTTGTATATTTACAAAAAGTGCCAGAGTGATATTATTATCTCATGTCAACTGACTGTCATGGTTTAGTCCTTTGGGTTTACCTCAAAGCCATCCTTCTATTCTGAAAATTATTAATTTCCATTGAGCGTAAATTATCTTTGATTGGACAATAACTAAATAAAAAAACACTAGCAGTTATTTATAACCAAAACTCAATGAATTTTTTTTAATTAAAACGTAAATATAACTACTGTTAAGAAGTACGGCACTGAGGCAAATCTTCAAAAGCCCTTTCTAAAAGAAAAATCAATTTTGATTGCATATCAGAAAAAATATACGGTATTACCTGGATTAAAGAGACCACCGTGCATTTCGTATCCCATATTAACGAGCAGAGATTCAAAAGGATCCATCGCCATACGTTGTTGATTAGCCTGTACTACAGATTCTATGTCTTTTACTCTTCGACTATTTTCGCTGCCATCCTAGAAGAAGATAATGGAAAAATAGTTTTGTAAGTTTGAACAAATTCCTACCTCTGCCATAGGCGTCCACAATTTTACAACAGGATCGATCCCGCTAGATGCTATCAGACACTGATTAGGATGTGGCTGGATACAGTTTACTATGGAAACGTCTCCAACTAGAGCATTGACTATTGATTGGGTTTTTCTTTCCCAAATGAATATTATTCCTTCATCGGAACCTGCACAAATATAATGTCCATCTTCACCTGAAATAAAATAAAACGAATTTGTTTTTATAATAAATGAAACATCTCTCTCTATGTCTATGAAACATTGTATGTATTTGCTTTTCCTATGATGACTGAAGAAAACATTGGAATTAATTGGTGATTTTACATAATTTCAGAGCCATAGAGAAGCCTTATAACTCAGAAACTGTACGACCTACCAAAACCCATTTTCTATAATTTATAGGGAATTAAATATCTCCTGAGACGATGTATAATTCAATTGAATTTGTTCAAATATCATCTTAATATTTAAGTGATTATTAAATATGACATAAAATGAGATTTTCTTTTTGTAATAATTGCCATTTGGAATCGATGTTACAATGGTTTTTGACTAAATTTGATTGTTAATTATTCTTTTTTTTTCTTTGACTTTTCTCTAGTAGAAGTTTTTACTGGAAAGATCATTCTCTCTCTGGAAAGGTTTTAAAAACAAAATCCATTTAGCGATTTTGCTGATTGTTTCTATGTTATACATACTTTCCATCTCATTGATTTATTAGGTCAGTTAAGTTAGCCCCGCCCCATAGAAAATTTCTGGATGAAAATTATCCCATAACAGTGAAAATTCAGAAATTTGATCATGCTCATTTTGTTCTCCGAGTTTTGCTCTGTAATCGGCGAGTTTTGCTCTATTACCAGGATAGACCTACAGAGCTCCCAAAAATCTCTACTCATACCGAGTTTTGCTTGGGGAGGAAGACTTGAATAATGGGAACGGTTTGTGAAATTACGCTCTCAATCCTGTGATAATTGAACTGCGCTTGCGCATTTGTTCATATCAAACATAAATAAACAAATACGCAAGCGCAGCTCAATTCAGAACTGATTCTGAACTAAGTCCGAACAAACCTACTTGGGAAATCCACGAGATTTCTTTTTAAATCCGGAGGAAAGTGATTTGCTCCGGATGTTCTGTAATGTAATATGGGAACGGCCGTCAGATAAACTCGTTCTGCTCCAGAGTGAACAAGGAACGGTTTGGATCAGAAAGCGTAAAAAAAAATTGGATAAAGGAAGGCCAAGAACCCTCAACTAACGGGATGGCTTATCCCCATAAGGCGTACGTTCGCCATTTTTCGACTAGTCGTGACGTCACTGAGACCCCCATGGGTTGTTTGCGATTCAGGCTGTGCCACGCCGTTCTTGTGGTGAGGTAATTTTATCGTCGATTCAAAATGAAGAAAAGGTAATTTCAACGTTTAGAAAAAAAACTGTATGAAATAATTGGATAATGGATTTTACGCCGATGTTGAGGTCTACATTGACGTCACAAATAGGGGGGAGTTTGCGCGTGGACATGGCAGAGACTTTCAGCTAGATAAGCCATCCTTTTAAGGTTTAGGGTTCTTGAAGGAAGGCCAAGTTTTTGAATTCACCAATTAACGTTTTCAATTAAAAGAGATGGACAATAAAGTATGAAAACAATCATTTTCCCGCCAACATTTGCTTGCTTGTCAATGCCAGTGTGTATTGAGGTGTTTTGAAAGAAAATGCAGGAAAAGTCACTACTTCATTTGCAGAACTTCTCTATGGAGAAAGCGGTGGATTATTTTGGAAGCAAGCACCTCCCGCAAACTAAACTTGAACGGGGATTACTTTGTATACTTGATAGGCTGTGGATTTCCCTTTTTTTGCAAGTATTCTTTCTGATTTTATGTATCCAAAATTTGACAAATGTAGGATTTGATGGAAACTTATGGAAAGACACGTCCGCCGGTAAATAGGAATTATTTTTACAAAAAGGCACACTACACAATCACTATTGTTAGGAAAAAACTTTGAAAAAACCGAAGAAATAATAGTTTCCCGTTTCCACATGTACAAAAGTCTTGTCAACAAACCACTGTCAGCGGCTGTCAACCGTTGTTTTCATACTCTTTTGGCGTCTGACAGTTTGACGCCAGAGAGAGAGGGTTTTGAAATTGAAAAGGTCAATTGCTTATAAATACGCATTTCTTTTGATGAGTAACCTATTCTTGTTTTTCTGTTGTCAAATGACAAAGACAGCATTACATCGGTGAAAATGCGCATATTTTATGTTCATCGATTCGCACTGTCAAATCAATATGAATTCGGAACACATTTCACTGCACCGAACATGAGCGCTCGAGCAAACGAGCTAGATTATCGGTATTTATTTATGACATAAAAACTATTTTTTCAAGCGATTCTCATTTGTAAATTCAGTGCGGGCTCTGTTTGTCTATTTGCACCAAAATTACATCAGTCTGCACCAGGGGGGCTTTATTTGAAATTGATGCAACTTTGCGTAGACGCAATTAACGTCATTCGTGATTGAAAATTAGTGCACAGCTTATTTGAAATGTATTTTTTCAATCGAAACTGACATCATCTGCGTCATATTTGCGTGTACGCAAAGTTACATCAATTTCAAATAAAGGCCCCCAGGTGCACCAAAAAGTCAGTTTGTCTCTGTCAGACCCATACAAAAAAAAATATAGGGATAAACGTTTGGTGTGGAAAGTGTCGGTTGGTGCCTTGTTGTGCGAATGAAAAAACAAAGCTAGGGAAACCAGGGACCACCGTTCCCTTCACGGCCATTATACTCAATGCACTTTAAATCAGTTACAGGTGCATCAGGAAAAAGAGGCGAGGAAAATGAGAGCAGCTTCAGAGCGCCTGAGTGCTCAAAGCGTGGCACCCGAAAGCAGCTCAGGTAATGGAGCAAAACTCGCCGATCATGGAACAGAACGGAGCAAAACTCGGAGAACAGGGCTAGGAAAAATTTTTAGGAACTGGTAGGTCATGCCAGGTAATGAAGCAAAACTCGTCGATCATGGAGCAAAATGGAGCAAAACTCGGAGAACAAAATGCGCATATAAAACGGCTCGTGATGGAGCAAAACGAGCTGATCATGATGCAAAATGGAGCAAGACTCGGAATGTAACACAATGAATAATTTCAAGTTTCAAAATCTTCACTGGGGGACAAGAAGAGATTCTTTAGAGCTCTGTAGGTCATTCCTGGTAATGGACAGTGTTGCCGGACCTGAAAATTCTCATTACCCTTTCCAATCTCAAAAAATACCCAATTTTACCCGCACATTGAAACTGAAAACTGCGAATTGAATGTATTCGCATCTTTTTCTAAAATTATGTAAAATAAAAGGATAAAGACACATTTTGCACTGATTCTGCAAATGGAAATCGCTATCAGTTCAATTTATAACGATTTCCATTTGTCGAACCAGTGCACAAAAAATGTATCCCTATCCTTATATGTTACATGCTTTAGAAAAAGATATTCGCAGTGCGCACTGATTGACAAATGGAAATCGCCATTAGTTTGCCGTCTACACAGTTGCACTTTCAATTTCAATGTGAAAATCTGGCCCGCGGATTCAGAATTTTAAAATATTATTTAAAAATAAAAAATAAAAGAAGAATAGTGCTGTATTTCCAGATTCCCCGATTTTACCCACATCAATATTTTACCCGAATACTAGTCGGAAATACCCGATATTTGGGGAATTACCCAGCCAACGGCAACACTGGTAATGGAGCAAAACTCGCTGATTATGGAGTAAAACTCGGAGAATAAAATGGTTACCCGTGATATTTGGATGAAATTTAAATATGTTATTGGAAATGCCGTAAGCAACATTTTTTACCATGGGCGTAACCTTGTATATATGACAGATGAGGCGGTATCAGCTGTTAAATATTGATTTCAAATATTGAAATCTAATATTCAAATGTAGGGTAACTGTGGTAGATTTTAATGAAGCAAGTATCGATTCCTAATAAGTTAACCAAGGAACACGAAAAATGTCAACCATTTTGACATCTGTCAAAATCCTGCCAAACAGCAACACTCATATTTTTCAGTTTTCAATATTTCATGATGTGTCATTTGACACTTTCAACCTATGTGAATTCTGAGTTGAAAAAAAAAAATTACAGAACTGTCAAAACCTGTCTTTGTTTTAGTAAAAAAAATCCAATTTGGCTCTTTTTCGTTTGAAGGTAGCTTATTGGTGATAAAACATTAAACAAAGCGCATAGTGATCAAATTTTGACAGCTGTCAGAATCTGACATCAGCTTTAATTGAATAAAAAAACTTAACTCTAGTTCTGTTCTAATTACACAGGTTTTAAATTTTGACAGCTGTCAAAATTTGATGTCTATGAGCTTTGCTTAATGTTTTATTGCCAAGAAACTACCTTGAAACAAAAAAAACCAGATATGAATCTTTTTTCCTACTAAAATAAATGACAGGTTTTGACAGTTCTGTAATTTTTTTTTCTAATTTTTCAACACACAATTGACATAAGCTAAAACTGTCAAATCATGAAATATTGAAAACTGAAAAATACGAGTGCTGCCGTTTGGCAGGGTTTTGACAGATTTCAAAATAGTTGACATTTTTCGATTTACCTTGTTCGGCTTAGTAGAAATCGATATTTGCTTCATCAAAATCTGCCATAGTTACCCTGCCTTTGAATATGTAATTCCAATATTTGACAGCCGATACCGCCTCACCTGTCATATATACAAGGTTGCGACCAGGGTAAAAAATGTTGCTTACGGCATTTCCAATAACATATTTAAATTTCATCCAAATATCACGGGTAACCAATTTCCGTTTAAATATTGCGGGGTCCTTTCAAAATTTTTACCGGGGAGGAGAGATTTTTGGGAGCTCTGTAGGTCTCTCCTGGTAGTAGAGCAAAACTAATCGATTATGGAGTAAAATGAAGCAAAACTCGGAGAACAAAATGAGCATGATCAAATTTCAAAATTTTCACTGGGGGGGGGGGGGCTTGCAAGATGCCATTTGCAGGGCATGCATTGTAAATGTAAAACTGATGTCAACCTGCAAGGACACCTCATTTTCCGACCAATCAGGGCCAAGAGGTATTGTTTATGTTTCAAGTTGACAATGTCAAAATCTATCTTGGGAAAAAATGGACCATACAAAACCCCTTACCTAAAAAGTTGGCTTCTTTAATATCCGTAGTGGTATTACAATGGCCCATAAATCGCATTTCATAATCGATCGAATTGAATCTTTTATTAGCCTCTTCAGTTTCAATCAACTTGAATGCATTCTGCTCAGGAGGATTTTCATTATTCTCTTCTAGCAGCGCGATGACGTCACGCAGCGTACGCGCCTTCAAAAAGCAGCACATTTTACTAACCTTCGCGTTTAGCTTGCATTCTCACCTGTTTTTGTGAAGCAAACTCTGGCTGCAACTGGCAAAGTAAATTCAGCCAACGTCTGGCATCGTCGGCCCATCTAAGCCTCACGAGACTTTTAATTAAACCAACATAAGCCTGCGTTTCGTTGGGCCAAAGTTGCATTACATGCAAATAATCTCTTGCTGCACAATATAAATCACCGATCCTGAAAAAATCGTAGTTAGCCTAAATAATTCTTATTGAAAACTAATTACCATTTTCTGTTATTTAAATGAAAACCGCGTCTCATATAAAAACAACCACAAGGCTCCTCAGATGTATTTATTTTGCTACCATAATTACTTTTTACTTGATCACCTTGATCTTCCTATTAAAAAACCATATCAATCTACTCAAAAACCCTTTTTCAAATAGCTTACCAAATTACATTTACACTTGTATGTTACATTATCAGCAACCTTAGGCGGCAATAGCTTTGCAATTGCATTCACAGGTCTCTGATGGTTGACATCAAACAAATAAATTTGTTCGCCGCCCATATTCACTAACATTTCGGAACCTGCCGCATTATAGGCAATATAAGTAGCAGTGAAACGATAATTATTGTAGCTGTAATTGTCGAATGCTAAATGACCTGGAGCATAGTATTGTACGCAATCAGATTTAATTGGAGGGTAATGGAATTCGTTGCCAGTTTTCTACAATAAAAAATTTCAATATTTATTGAAATGGAAACAAATTATGTTACCTCTGATATAGAGCAAGTTGTCATTTTTCGTCTATCATAAACGCGAACGAAAGCGTCATTTGTACCAACAGCAATATAATGTGGTTTGGTTGGGTTAACAGCTATACATTTGGCTTCATATGCTGTACCGTAGCTTATTAATAAATTAGCGTTACTTGCTGAGCAATCGTGAGATTCCCTTAAGTCATATTGCCTGGAAAAAACATTCACATATTATTATGTTTGATTAATTTGAAAAAAATATTTACATAACAAGTCCATCTTCGCCGGCTGACCAAAACAGTACAGGTTCCAAAGGCGAAGTGGCCAATCGTTTGACACGGTGCTTGTGGCAGTTGCATTCCAAAATGGTAGAATCCGTAATTGATTGCACCAAAACTCTGCAATCGCCTGCCGCGGTTGCAATCAGACTATTATTGATTCCTAGAAACTGTTTAACAAAATTTTGGAAAAAGGTTTATTGAAAACGCTTTAATTATTACCTTGACTGAGAATATATTACCAAAATGGTTGGTTGCAACGGTATGGATTTGCTTGCGTCTGACCGGATCCCATAATATGACTTTTGTATCGTCAGAACCAGATGCCAAGATACTGTAATTGAAAAAAAAGTAATTTAGGCTTTTATTTTGTTTTATAGGAGGAACTCAATCAAAAACACTTGTAACTGATGATGCGACCATAACCCAAACATTGAAATAGAAAGAGATTCAAGCTATACTATTGAGGGAGATAGAGGGTAACATTTTCATAAATCCAGTTTCACAATGTCTGGTGACCTTTTTGGTCACTTAACTAATACGTTTGCAGTGACCAATGGTTAAGGCATATCATATAGCGTTTCACAGCGAAAAAAATTGTGCTGGTCCATTAACCAAGCTGTAATTTTTCTCAAGTGTCAGCAGAATTTTTAGATTTTACGATTTCATTGATTCAAAGGAATATGAAAATAATCTGTAATTTCTTCACAATCTTCACTAATCCTTTCCACTGTTCTTGGTGATAATCTCAACCCAAGTCTAAACCTGTCAGGACAATTGTTCTTGTTATCATATTCTTCAAAGAAATTAGTTCTTGGTTTAATTATTTTTTCACGTCATCCACCTTCGTCTTCACGCTAAATGCATTAATTTCATGTAAATCCATATTCAGTTTATAAACAAAAAAAATATACGATACAGAAAAACAACCCATCAACAAGACAAGACTTGGTAAAACGTTAACCAAAATGGTGAATAGGTCCTTTCTGGTTTAATTTTAACCACATAATTTTCCTATGGTCAACTTAACTTAAAGTTAACTGGAAGTTTGGGTTAGTTTGGGTTAGTTTGGGTTGGTTTCTTAATGCATTTCGCCATCTGAAGAAACGTCAACTGAATGCTTCATTTTTACTTCATCCTCAGATGTAGACTCGGATCTTGATGTAAAGCTAAACGTAAATTCTGTCCCTACAAAATTTTCAATATTTTCATATCTCTTTGATTCCTTTTTCAGGATTCCTCGTAAGTCGAGGTTTTTTGATGCGGCTAACTGGAATGGATTTAGGCATAGTTCTATTGCAGGAATAAAATATTTAGTATTTACTTTACCCAAGGACTCATCTAGAAACCAACAAAACGAGGACCTTTTACTTATGACATTTTTTTCTGTAATATCAATTCCGGTAAATTTATTGGAGAAATCTTTCAAATCCAATGAGTCTATTTCCTCTTCAGGTGAAATAATGTTTCCATTCATGTTTTCTTGAGCCAGTGTCATCAGTAAAGTTTTTAATTTCATTGAGAATGTCATTCAGAGCTGCATTTACACATGATTTTACGTTTATGGACAAAATTTCTTCTGAGATTACACTAGCAGATTGATATTAGAATTTTGAATGAATACACTCGAGAATGTAGAATACATGAGAAAACAAAGGAATACATAGGTATGACTACATGAGAATACATAGGGCATACATAAAAATACATTGGATTTCATGAGAAAATAAGAATACATGGGATTACCTTAGGCTTGTACACTGGAATATTTACATTGGCTGTTCACCCCTTGTTAGAAACCTTTTGGAATTTCTGAAAATGTCTTCACAATACCCAGTTTTATATAAGAAATCTTCATAAAATCCACGAAGATTTAGAATAATGTGTACACATTTTGGAGTTTTATACAACTTGAGCTTCATCTGACTGGATTTGTTTTTGAAGTCAACTTTTATTAGATGATTCAGTAAATTTCCATTTTTCATTGCTTCATTGATGTGTATTTTCTATTTCAGACTGTCAGCATAGATAGGCAGGTTGTCTTGTACACTTTTTTAGTCCTGACAATGAACAACAAGAAACAAGTCGTTTTTTGGTGGTATTACTATGTATTTTCTAAAGGGAAAAGCAGTTAATTTTTATGCCATTCCCACTACACTGGTAAGACAGATTGGCCAATAGTTTTTGGCACATTGTTTATTGAATTTTTTTGAAAATTCGTATCCTTGTAGTTCCTGGAAAGGTTCTGGTGAGGAGTACTTTTGGAAGTGGCCCCTAATGTACTAAAATTTGTCAAAAAAGGGACACTATAGGTACTTGTATTTTTCATTTAGGTAGGTACATCTTGATTTTCCTACATGTAACCAGAATATTTTGCTATTGTTGATTGCTCAGTAATTAAATGTAAAGGAAAGCTAACAAGTTATTTGATTTGAAAGAAAGGCACCAACGTTCAGTTACAGATAAATGATTAGTGCTTCAAAATGCTCCAATCCCCAAATTAGCAACCCTTGTATTTTCGGAGATATTTCGGATTCTTGCAATCGCCTGCTTACTTCTCACCCAGCAGAAATAAGAGAACACCAACGTTCAGTTACAGATAAATGGCTAGTGCTTCATTAGTGCTTTAATCCCCAAATTAGCAACTTTTGAGTTTTTGAGAGATATTCTGGTGTTTAGAAATCGCCTACTTAGTTAACACAGTGCAGGAACATTGGAAGCAACCACCAAAATCCCAAAGCATGGAATATAGATGGAAAAAAAATTCAGATTTAAAACAAATGTCCCTTCGATACACTAGTTCAATGCTTTTCAAGTGCTATCTGCGATTCGAGTGATCGCGTTCAACAATTCATTACTGCTCAAAGTGAGCCACGTTTTTTTTTCCTTCCTTGAGGAATTTTTAAAATATTGAGCAATCTCTAGAATTAATCAGTTAAGAGCTGAACTGCTCTACAGAACAACGATCTTCAAGAAAACTACTTTGTCAAACAGCTCTACTATACTTTATTGTATTCAGAATATCTGCAACATGACTGACTGGTTTATTGATAGTTACCTACATATTTATTCTTAAAAATAAACGCCTTTCTCCTGAATGCCACTATTTCAAAGAGCAGAAAGTGACGTCATTTGTCTTGGAATTTGAATCGATTCAGAAGATACACTAAAAAGGATTCCAAAATTTGGAAGTGTTGGTAAATCATCAAACTGAGAAGATGGAAAGGAGAGTGAAGACATGCTAGTACTGATTTATAACATTTGTGAGAAGATGAATATAACGGATGGTCAAAAGAGAAACTAAGACCCGGTTTATTCACATACTGATAAACCATCAGGTATATTATCTGACCGGTAAAAACGCAATCTATAAACTTATTGGTCAGCCAGTTATACATTGACCAATAGGATTATCGATTGGCAAATTTGTCTTGTAAATAGTCACCAGTACGTTTATCGGAAGATGAATAAACCGGCCTAAGAATTAGGAATCAATCAGTACCTACTAATCATATTTATAAGTAATTCAGACCAGAGTTTATGCTGTTTAATATTCCCGGTTCTTGGCCCTGGAAGGGTGAAATCCACAGGCGATTGCAAAAAGTCGAAATATCTCTGGAAGTATAGCAGTTGTTAAAAGCTAAGGTGGTGCATCATAAAGCACTAACGAAGCATTAACCATTCATCTACAACTGAACGTTGGTGCTTTCCATGTTCCTGCTGGGTGTGAAGTAAGCAGGCGATTTCTGAAACACGGAATATTTCTGAAAATATAGGGGTTGCTTATTTAGGAATTGAAGCACTAACCATTCATCTGTAACTGAACGATGGTGCTTTCCTTATTCCTGCTAGGTGTGAAGTGAGCAGGCAATTTCTGAAAAATTTAATATCTCTGAAAATATAAGGGTTGCTATTTTGCGGATTGAAGTACATTGAAGCACTAATGAAGCACTAACCATCTATCTACAACTAAACGTTGGTGCTTCCAATGTTCCTGCTATGTGTAAACTAAGCAGGCGATTTCTAAAAACCAGAATATAACTGCAAATTCAAGGTTTGCTAAATTGGGGATTGAAGCAAATTCAAGCACCAACAAAGCACTAACCATTTATCTATAAGTGAGCATTAATGCTTTCCTTGTTCCTGCTGGGTGTGAAATAATCAGGCAGGCAATTTCTAAAAACAATATTTGTGTTTGCTATTTGTGACCATACAATAGATGCATACCCTATATGGGGCCTCACAAGTGCATTTTTATCATCTTAAAATTATCTTTGGTGTAGACTAACCCCAATGAGATGAAAATCACTGATAAGAATTATTTGTAATAAAAAGTAAGAACAGAAAAATGGATATTAGTATGCCTCTACAGAACTATAAAAAAAAAAACATTCTTCATTTAAACCCTTAAAATATTAGAATAATTTTACATAGGTTCTTCCTATATTGTTACAATAGGTAAAAACTCAAATATATATACAGGGTGATTTACGTAGCCTGTGCATTAAAAGTTTTCCAGTTTGCAGGTGGATTAGTAGAAATAGCATCTAATCCTCTGCGAGCTAAAACAGGCTCTGTAAATCACTCAGGCTACTGAAACACTTAAACGACAGCTCTTTTTTTAGTGACACCCAACATGGTTTCCTCAACAATAGATCCACAGAAACAGCTTTATTTAGTCACATTAATGCTATAGCGAAGGCACTGGATACTAGAAAATCTACTTTTGCAGTTTACTTTGACCTTAGCAAGGCTTTCAACATGATGGATCATGAGGGTCTTAAGAATGTCCTTAAATCAATAGGAATCCAGGAAAGGGAAATTGGGTGGGTCGATTCGTTTTTGGGTGATAGGCCACAAAGTGTGGAAATCACGGGCAGCAGGGACCATATTGTGAATTACACTTATCGCTCAAGTTTCACAACCATGAACACAGGAGCCCCGCAAGGGTCACTTTTGTCTCCACTCCTCTTTATCATTTTTTGCAATGACTTAAACAGTGTCCTTAATGACCCTGATCTTTCACTTGCTCAGTTTGCTGATGATAAGATATGCGTAATATCAAACAAAGATGAAAAAATGGCTGTTAATCTTGCGAATTCCACTGCACTGAAAATGCAGAATTGGTGTGATGAAAAGCATCTAATTTTGAACCAAACTAAAACAAACTTTATTCATTTCCAAAACAAAAAGAAAGATAAAACTACCACAGCTCTTAATATTAATGGAACAGACATACAACAAGCAGAGGAAACGAAATTCCTAGGACTCACTATAACTAGGCTCTTGAACTGGCAGAGTCACGGAAGTGAGATCTGCAAGAAAATTACATCAGCCAACTTTGCAATTTATAATATAAGAGACATCGTTAGTAGGGGATCTGTGATTCAGTTTTATTATGCCTATGTACATTCACGCATGGCTTATGGTATCCTCTTTTGGGGCTCCCATAAGGAAACCATGCAGAGAATATTTGTTGTTCAAAAGAGAATAATCAGGACTGCATGTTGTGCCCCTGATCTGGAGCACTGTGCCCCATTGTTCCGGAGACTGGGCATAATGACAGTCTACGTTATATATGTACAAAATATGCTGTTTCACCTATAAAAATCCAAACCTTTTTCGGAAAAACAATGACACAAACTCAAATAAGAAAACAAGAAATAATCAGAGCCTTATTACACCATTGGATAGGACCAAATTGTATGAAGATAGTCCCTACTAATATGTGTGTGTTAAGATTTACAATGCAGTGCCTGGTGAGGTGAAAAGGTTAGAGGTTTACGGGAAGTTCAAAAAGAAAATAAAACCATTTTTTACACAACATCCATTCTATTCAGTAAATGAATTTTTCGACCAGACAAATAAATTAAACAGATATGGATATAACTGTGCTTACTGTTGATTCTCTCCACAAATTTTAAAACTGCATGTTGAGTGTGATTTTAATGGCCTACTAAAGAAAATAATGTCAATTAGGAAAAATTGTGTTCTTCTTGTCTGTGTTTGAAAGAACTCTAGTACCTATAGGTATATGTATGTAAAATCAAAAAAGGAATAAATAAATTGAATTGAAAAAAAAATTGAATTGAACCCTGTATAAAGTCACAGAGAGAACAGAGAAATAAAAGAATCACAAGCAGAATCCAAAAAAATGATTATTGAAGTGACGAGTACTAAGGTCATTCAAACTGGTGGGTAGGTACATCCTTATAAATTGTTATACCATTATAATAAATTGAGTTCCCAAGGGTCTGACCCATATTACGAGTATCTTCATTTTTTCTTAGATGATAGTTAGATGATAGTTTGTTCTTGTGTCTCAGTCATACCTAATTATGAATATTATTTCTGGTGATATGTTATTGATTAGTGTTGTTCTTGTTTAGATGAGTACTCGGATGAGTAGGTAAAATGTTTGCTAATCTTCAGGAAATAGGTAGGTACTGTATCAATTTTTTCATAAAAATGTTACAAAATTGTTGATCTTGATGTCAATTTTGTGAATAAAAGCAATAAAAAAAATTTAGAAACTGCATTTTTCATTATAAGGTAAAGTACCCAGTTGTTGACATGTTAAGGGTATCCTTGCTTATGATCACCACGCATTTTCCAAATTTTTAATCCCAAGGCTTTGATATATTTTTTGGTGTGATTTCAAACTCATAATTAAATGTGTAGATATATTATTTACCCTATATTCCTATTATTTATGTTATTATGCCAAAAATACCTGAAAGGTGATAAAACCCCAATAGTTGACACCATAGACAATAAAAAATAAAAAGACCTTCAAAAGTATAGCCGAAATAGGTTATACTATTACTGCGCATCCGGTTGCGCATAGCGCATTGCGGAATTTTTGGAAAGTTAGAGACTTACGAAAGATCAGTCCGATCATCCGATTCTGTTTCATCTTTCTCTGTCATACCAATTCACAAGACAAGGACACCGTATGAGTTACAGAGCTTTCCTAGCTGTTTTGTAGAAACCTATCAAACATTCATAACTATAGAAACTGTGACCGAGAAAACAAATAAGTAACCCGGGAAGTAACCTTAAAATAACGACATTTCCGTCCGTGTTGAAATTTGTCATTTTTAACCGATTGGGCGGTTGTCTAGAAGACTCGAACTCACAAAATCTAAAGAACAAGAAGAAGAAATTCTCATTTTTATTAAGGCACTCGGTATCGCGTACCTATAATATTATGTACAACTAGGATAAACTGAACCAGTAAGTATACATGTTAGTTTTGTGATATACGGCATATTTTTTTACTGTTTTAGGTGACCTCAGTCAGAAAAGATAAAATGTAGATGTTAGGCCTTGGCCAGCTTAGGTTGTACATACATTAAAGCATTTATAAGGGATGTAATAACTGTGTTTGTAAACTCTTTAGGTATTTGACCTATCTAGCTATAATATATATTTTTTCTAGTACAATTTAGTGTTTATTTTGCCTTTTTTTTTAATCTACCTACATCAAAAAATGACACAAAACTTTATGGAGCACCACATCATTTTTCTCATTCGGATTTGAGAAAAAAAGATGTGGAACAACATAAGTTTATTGTGCAATCAACTCAAGTCAAATTTCAAAATTCCCGCCATTTCAGTATTTGTTCCGGCTGTCACTATTGACGCCACCGTCGCTGTGACGTCAGCGCTATACAAACTTTCATGTTATCAATCAGGTACTCTTACCTTGGTTTATTATATTTCTCTATGGTTGACACCCAAAAAAGTTCACTTTGCCAAAAGTTGACACATTTTTGATCCAAAGGTTGACATATATTTTTTTACAAAACCAAATTTTTACTTTTAAGAAACTTTATCACGGTCTGTGGAACTAAGAAGTATATTTTTCTAAGTGTACAATTTTTTAAATGAAATATATGCACATAATAACCAATTATTTTAATTTTTTTTAAGTACATGTTGTGGTTCCATTACTTGACACTCTTGAAACAATAGTTGACATGTTGCCTGTATCAGTAGAAACCCTGGTAGAAACATGAATAATGTAAGAATCAAACTTTTTATGAATAAAAAATCACATTGGGAAACTTTTTGTTGGGAAAAAAATACAAATTTCAATTCCAAATTGGTAATAAAAGAAATTGCTTGGAAAGCATTGGTACAATGTGTTTTTTTGCTGATGTAGCTGCAGTGAGCCCCCTATCGCAATCATCCAACGCAGCAATCATGTCTTCTGGTAGTTCTAGTGCATATTTCAGCAATTTCCATTTTTCATACGTCATCTCTTGATTTAAAACTGAAAGCACCAATTGTTGACACTCTAAAGCTCCAAACATTGACAGGGGTAACAGGGGTGTCATCTATTGGATCTACGACCGTTACATTCCCCAAACCCATATCTAGGTTTCTTTTTAATCCAGAGCAATAAAAAGAGACAGACTACAATGTTAAAATATTTTTACCGCCAAAAATCCATAAGTTGACACTAGTGTCAACATTTGGATCACCCCTCGATTTGGGCTTCAATAGTTGACACCCCCCCTTAAAAAGTTTATGCCAGTTGTTTAAGAGATAAAACAATAATAAATATGTATTACAATGTATCTTATTATACAGTAAATATATATTATTCATAATTTATCAACCCTACCTTAGCTTTGAGAACTTTTGTTTTTATATCTTTTTAACTATTTTCACTAGAAATCTGGGAAAAAATTCAAACATTTGCTACTTCTTGCCACAATTTTGAAAAAACTTATCATTTCAAATCCATAGGTACATCAGCTATAGCCTGAAAAATGGCTCCAACAATACTATAAGCTATTTCAGTTAGCTTATAACCCATATAAATTCTTATTTTTGGGAACAATATGCTAATGTGTCAACTTTTGGGACCCTGTCAACAACTGGGTACTTTACCTTACTCTTCGACCATATTATACTCAACTGCTTTAGTGATCCTAATCAAACAATCTTGCCAATTTTGCTAAGAAAATAATTGCTCAAATACCTCAGTCCCAATTCTGGGAATGAAGATGAGCTGTTGGCCGGGTTTCTTTCAGAGACTCTAATGTTATAGATTCATATAAGTACTTACTCATTTATTTTTGGTAGGTAGGTACCTATAATTCCTAATTTTGAAGGTAAAAACAAGGCATAACCGCATTGAATATGGTTACCAGATTGTGGGGAACAAAGGAGATAAAACGCTAATGATTTTATACAAATGCCTTTAATAAATAAACCTAGAAATCAACAATAGTTACCTTCCATCTGCTGTCCACTCTAAACAATTCACACATCCCTGATGTCCTTCCAGTTCAAAGCTACATCCCAATCTCTGAATCAGTTCGTAAGTAAATTGGCAATATTTTCTCGTAAAGCTGGCCGCTTCTCCGTTCACCTCTCTATATTGGAGCATTTGCAGAATATTTTTCCTTGTATTGGCCCTGGTTTTACCCAATTTGTTTTCCATTTTCTAGAGCAAACTAATCTTGTTTATGTTGGTCAAATGTTTGAAGGTTAACTTACCAAGTATTTTTAGTTCATTTGTATAAACATTTAAGTAATTTAGGTGATATTTATTTGCACAAATGTTTTTATTTGATAGTGAAAGCGGAGACTTTAAAATACACAAACAAAATAATATTTTGTTATAACATATGTCAAAATTTGACAATTAATAAATATTAACTTCAATATGCAATCTATTCTACAGCTGTTATGATGGTGTCCTTTTCTAATTGCTTTAAATAGAAAAGGAGACATTAAAAATTGTCTTGGAAAATAAGGAATTTTTGTATTTTTATCAAAAGATTTTTCTATTGACATATATTTTCCAAAAATAATACAAATACTATCAATAATAAATCATAATTTAGTGAAATTATTAAAATCCGCAATCCATTGTTATGTAATAATTAATTCAAATTATGAAATTCAAATTTCCCACAAATACAAATTGACATAAATGACAATCATCTGTTCAGATTTTTTGATTTTTATGGTTGGCAATGGTAAAAATTCTTGTTCACACGTGTTGAAAATATTCAGTTTAGGATTGTTTTTTCAAAAAAACTTGATAAAATTGTGTTCAAAATACTTGTACGATGTCGGTTCTACAACGGGTGGTGTAAGTGTGCAATTAGCTTTAATTTAAACCCCAAAATTAGGTGAGTTTCTAACGCTTTTCCCCATTGTTTTTGTAGAAAACCAACCACACATAAAGGCAAAAAAGTCCTGCTCAAAAAGGAGCCTCAAATAATCGAAGGCACGAAGCGGGCGATCTTTTTCAAAGGGCGCAAAACGTCGGAAAAGGTGCGGAACTTATTAAAAGACTTGTACCTGATAAAGAAACCTGATGCTCAAATGCTAAATAAAAAGAACGACATTACTATCTTTGAGAATCCCCAACCTGTGGAAGCTTTCTGTAAAAAACACGACAGTGCAATGTTCCTAATGGGAAGCCACAGCAAAAAACGTCCTGATAATCTAGTCGTAGGGAGAACCTTTAATTATTCTATACTAGACATGATTGAACTTTATGTTGAAAACTATGATGGACTGCAAGAATTCGCCAATGACAAAATAACTGTGGGGACCAAACCTTGCTTGATTTTCAACGGGACTTTGTGGGAACAATCTGACGAACTCAAACAACTCAAATCTATATTTATAGATTTTTTCCATAGGGAAGAAGTGGAGGCTGTAAGACTGCAAGGTCTCGAACATTCTATTAGCTTTAATGCTACACCAGATGGTAAGATTTGTTTGAGATCTTACAAGGTTTTGCTCAAGAAGTCTGGAGTGAGAACACCGAGGGTGGAACTGGAAGAAATTGGTAAGTGAATTTGTAGTTTTAAAAGCAGCCAGCCTCCTAGCTGGATCAAATCCAGGCATAGTGGAATATTGCTTTTCTACTTTCCTTAAAAATCTAATGTGGGATTTAATAAATTGCTTGCGTCAATCAACGGTTTGTTAAGACTGATTATTTCATTCATTATAAAATAGACCCATCAGACAACGTCATTTTTTGAATGAATTTTGTTTAAATAAGTGATTATTTCACAAGACCTTGTTTATCAGCGACAATTCCACTCATGTATAAATAATCCCGTTTAAACTGTCAAAAATTATAGTTTGCTAGCGGATAAATAGGAAGGAAGAGAAAATATAACTGGATAAAAAAATCGGATAAATTTTCTGTTGATGCAATCGTTACCATAGTAAAAATTGCATACTAACTTGGTTTTTGAATCATCTGTCAAATAATTGTCACAAAAATTCACAAATTCGATCAATTTAGCCCTGATTTTAGCTTATTAAAAGTGTTTTGTTATCTGAGATAAATAAATATTTTGTTTTGATTTTACATTCGTGGAATTGCCGTACTAAATACCATTCGAGCTCAGATTTTGAGCAGGATATTTTTTTGCTTGCTCGCTCATACTTACTTTCATGCAATTTATCTCGATCTGTTCAATAAAATCACTCGAGCTGCGCTCTCGTGATTTTGTCGGAACAGCTCTCGTTAAATTTCCTGAAAGTAAGTATTCGAGACCAAGCCAAAAAATATCCGGCTAAATCTGAGCTCTTAAGGTATTACCTACGATTAAATTTTTGTTTACCTTTTTTGACAGAATTTTGATAGAAATATTCTGACATTTTATAATAAATAGAACTCTTTGGATAGGATTGACGCCAATAATTCAATCCTAATTATTCAGGAAATAATCTAGCCGTATACCACTCGACCTATAAATTTAAATGGATTAAACTATCCAAATATTTTTTGCATAATTTTGCTTTTTGGCAAATAGTTTCATGCACAATAACTTTTAAATGAAATCCCTCGTCTCGGGCTTTTATTAAGTTATTGTGCATTCAACTATTTTCCAAGCAAAATCATGCTCAAAATATGTTGCATAGTTTAATCGATTAAATTTAAAGGTCTTGTGATATAATATATGATTATTATTATTATTATTATTAGGACTCTATTTAGCATGTACGGCTAATTTACAAAACATAGAGTACATAATATAATATTCATTTACAACTATAAATTGCACAGTGTATGTATACATAAAGCACACAATACAATACATGTCATCAAACATTGTTATGTCTAATAAAATTTGATAAAATAAAATAAAAATAATAAATTAAATTAAGATTATTTCAGCCACAGCTATAGAAAGTTAAACATAGTTTTCGATAATAGTACCTAGTACATTGTCACACTGAACACAAGCTACAAACAGGGTATATTTACACATTCAGACATAAAGTACTCAACGATTCCTTTCTAAGCATCTCCAACAGCCACACATCAAGCTATTAGCCATTTTTTGACCAGGTTGGAGGAGTTGCTTTCTCTTTTGCCTTTAAAATCAAATATTTTGGTGGCGGGTGATTTTAATATTAATTATCTAGATAAAAATTCTGTGCACACCCAGAGCCTGTCTTCAATCTTTTTGTCTTTTAATCTGAAAATGTTGGTGCAGGATCCAACTCGTATAACTAATACCTCAAGTACTTTAATTGATTATTTTTGTTCAAATTTTAGTGACAAGAGCTCTTCCGGGACTAAGGTAGTGCCTTCGGCTTTATCAGACCATGAAGCCATATTATCTGTAATAAGTTTAAATACCAAAAATATTAAAAGTATAAGAAAGGGGAGAATTTATAGTAAATGCAATTTTGACAGATTTAGAAGAGACTGCCAAAAAATCAATTGGGAGCAGATTAAGTGCTCATCTGACCCTCTAAATGAGTTTAACAAACAATTGGTTAACCTGTTTGAAGAAAGTTTTCTGTTAAAAACAATAAAACAAAAAAGAAAAAAGTCATGGGTAACAAAGGGAATTAAGACCTCTTCAAAAAACCTTAGATTTTTGCACACACTGAGAAAATATAATCCTTCAGAATTTGTAATTAGTTACTTCAATAAATATAGATCAATTTACCGTAAAGTTATAAAAAATGCCAAAAAAAATCACTATAATGTTAGAATTAGTAATGCGAAAAATAAATCAAAAGAAATTTGGAATATAGTGAATGATCTAAGGGGAAGTCACGGTAAGGGTGATTATCAGAACGACATAGATTCAGATAGTTTTAATAACTTCTATTGTTCAATAGCCGAAAAGTTGAGGAAGGATATATGTTCTGATACTAATCCTATGGTTTATCTAGGGAATATATCTGTAATTGATTCATTTTGTCTTTACCATACTGACATAAATGAAATCAAAAACATATTCAAATCAATAAAAAATAATTACTCAGCAGGTATTGATGGCATTTCATTGAGGATATTTATTAACCTTCTGGACTCTGTACTTGAGGAGCTTGCTACAATTATAAATATTTCTTTCGACAGGGGAATTTTTCCGGATAGCTTGGGCACAGCGTTGGTAATGCCTCTTTTTAAGGGTGGAAACTCTAACGATCCCTCTTGTTTTCGACCCATCTCAATGCTTCCTACACTTTCAAAAATTGTAGAGAAAATTGTTAAGGTTAGAATGTCTTCTTTTTTATTTATTTATTTATTTATTCAATAACAAACGGGTTAAAACCCAATCGTACAATAGTACTAAAACTAGAAGATAGTATCCAAGAATAGGTAAAATTGAAACAAACTATAAGACATTATATAGAAACAATAAAAAAAAAACATAAAATAGAATATAAAAACATTGAATACAGAACTTTCCATCAAAAAGAAAAAAAAAAAAGGCATAACCTGTTAAATAAAAACCAATTTGGTTTTCAGAGTGAGAAGAGCACTAGTGATGCAATCTTTAATTTTCTTGAGGAACTTTATCTGGGTCTGAATGGAAGAGAAATGGTAGCGGCAGTGTTCTGCGATTTTTCCAAAGCATTTGATTGCGTGGATCGCGGGATACAGTTGCAAAAGCTGTATCGTTATGGATTTAGGGGCAGTGCTTTGACTTGGCTTGGGTCCTACCTGGCAAATAGGCGACAGGTGGTTAGGGGGCGTCACGGTACATCGACTGTACGGACCATTGATTCTGGGGTTCCACAGGGTTCAGTGCTTGGCCCATTATTGTTTCTCATTTACATCAATGACCTAGCTTCCATCAATATAAATGGAGCCTTTACATTATTTGCTGATGATACCACGATACTGTGGCGTGGAACAAGTGATGATACTTTGGAAGAAACAATAAATAGAGACATACAAATTATAAAGAAATGGTGTGACACAAACAGCCTGACTTTTAACATAAGCAAAACCAATCTTATATCATTTAGGGGAAACGCTCCAAGTATCTCACTGAATGGTGGAGCTGTGGAAAGTACAGACTGTGCAAAGTTTTTGGGAGTTTTTATTGATTGCAAGTTAAAGTTTGATATGCATATTATAATGTTAAGGAAAAGGTTGGCCTCTGCTTGTTATGCTGTTAGAATTGTACATGGTGAACTTGGAGCCAAAACAGCAAGAGATGTATATTTCTCACTGATAGAGTCTCATTTGAGATATGGCATACAGTTTTGGGGCTTTGCCAGCCGGCATCTTATTCAGTCTGTTTTTGTCTTGCAGAAGCGGGCTGTAAGATATTTGAGTGGTGCTGGTCACAGAGATCACTGTAGACCGCTGTTTATTGGGGAGGGGATTCTAACATTGGCTTGTATTTTTATCCTTAGTACAGTAGAGTTGGTTCGTAAAAAATGCAGGGGATCTGATGTCGCCTCAGCAAGTGCTTACGCGACAAGATATAGCAGTGAAAATCTGAGTCTCTGCATTCCTAAAAGTACCCTTACTAAACATTCAATTATATATGAGGGTAGAAAAATGTACAATCACTTGCCGCTGGAAATCAAGAATCTAGAAAGTGACAAAAAGTTTGGCCAATTAGTAAAGAGGATGTTATTGAAAAAAGCTTATTATTGCCTTGACGAGTTTTATGCGGATGATTTATGTTTGTGAAGTAATGTTTGTTTTTTTTTCTATTTTAAGCTTTTCAAATTGTATTTGTGTTTTAAGGAATTTTAGCTGTTTTTGATGTTTTTTTTTTTTTTTTTTTTTCTATTTGTTTTTCTATGACCACTGAGTTTATACTGTTTTATATGTTTTTATTTTCAGCTTTGTACATGAGGGTATTTAAACTCTTTATACAATAAAGCATTTTTTGATTTGATTTTTTTGATTTGATTTGATTGTCGATTAATAACTTTTTCAGTTTCTATTTAAATATATTAAGCGTTGAGCTGCTTTTTACATCATTTGGTAGTTTGTTATAACTAATAAGGCCATTATGGAATAATGCCTTTTCAGTGCTCTTTTTATTCTTGGTTGCTACATGCAAGTCATTCTGAGATCTTGTATTGTGATCGTGAACGTTACGGTTGTACAGCAGTTTCGATGACAAGTACAGGGTGATTCTTTAAGAATGGCACTCGGCCATATCTCAAAAACTATTCATCGTAGTCATGTCGGAAAAAAATTATCCCATGAATATGGCCAAGAGAAAATGCTGGAAATATATTTCAGCTTTCTAAAATGACCTTAAGGGGGCGTAACCCAACTGTCAAAGTACAAAAACGGTTTTATTTTTTAAATTTCAAATGGAAATGTATCTCAAAAATGCTAGCAATAGATTTTTCATGAAATTTCACACAATTTTGATTCATGACTTTTTACCATAACTTATCGGATAAGACAGTTATGAGCTGTCAAATATTGCAACTTAAAAACCCGAATAACTCCAAAACGACTTAACGAATTGGGTCGATCTTAGGTTCGTTAGAAAGACAAGCGTCTGTTCTTTAATTTCATTGTAAAAAAATCCAACTTCAGTTAGTTGGACTGAC